TTATATGTCTAACACTGGAGCATTTTGGAAACATTAATGCATTTGAATAAATACCAGATGACTGGGAGCCCTGCCTGTCAATGCCACTCTTAGTGTGAGACAGAATGGCAGTGTTGTCAGATGGATTAGCAACAAATAATATTAGCAATTATCATCTAGTTACTGAGTTTTGGCAGATAAAGTATATTTAGTTAATGCAATCAGAGAAGGAAGGATGTGCATTTTCCTCGCTCTGAGTAATTTTTCTCCACTTTTCTATTAACTTAAAAATTCTTCTCTTGAAATTGCCAGGGACTTTGAACATTAAGTGATTACCAGTGGTTTCATTTTTGAATAGTGACTAAAACACTGTCGTGCTTGTAGAATATAGATATTCTATTAAAAGAGCCACAGGTGCCAAGAAAATCTATTTCATGAGATTGCTCATGGAGATTTGGCCTTGAGTATTGTCTGAACTTCAGTATGCAGCAAAAAGGTGGGAATTAAATGTAACTTTTTTTTTTAATCTGAATGCAGGAGGAGTGACAGCAGGGAATTGTATACTGGGACTTGCACTTTCCACTTAGTCATCTTGTTCTCTTAACTTTGGCACTGGAACTTGCTAAATCTAAATTATTAACAATTATTTGCTGTCAGACATCTTTTTGGTGTTCATCAAAGCATTATGAGTCTGTAGGCATGTGTCTTTTGCCATACTGGGTAGTGCCATTATTGGAAAACTTGGAATCCTTTTCTGAGTAGCACATCCAGGGAATAGGAGTCTTCTGAAAGGAAGCTGACTTCTTGTACAAAGTTTCTTGGTTTCCCATCCTATCATGCCAACAGAGGGTAAAAGATAAAAATCATCTTGGTCAGTCTAAACTATCACTGCATACATTCTTAGGTTTAGGGCTTGCAGCAAAGTATGTTTTATTTTCCATCTTTTCTTTGGGAGACCAAACTGAGTTTTCTATTGCTTCTTCACATACTGTATTTTTAAATTTTCTAGTAACTATTTTTCTTTTTTTTTTTTTTTCATAGTGTCTCCATTTGGTTCACTTTTTTTTTTTTTTTAAACTGAGCAGATAAACTTTAATTAAAGTGCTTCAACTGAGGCCTTATCAGTGCCAAGTGGAGTGGAAGGGCATCACCTGTCTTTTTCTTAGATGACATTCAAAGGAAGAGCTATTGATTTTGTCCCAGAGACAGTCTGAGTCATGACTTTGTCAGACTGCTTTATTATCCATTGGTTAGCTCGGCTCAGATATGATTTTTGGCCATTATGACTAACACCAATATCCCAAAGGAAAATCAGAAGGTGCAGTGCACCACTCATGGTAATTGCTGTGGTGACCATGGCAATCTGACAATTTCTTTAAGCATCTATCAATCCACTGTTACAATTAACTCTTACATTGGACATTGACTCATGAGAAAGAGATGGGACATCATCCTAATCTTCCTTTTCTGCTCTGGGAAGTAGGATACTTGGATGAAAATCAGAAGCTGACCTAATGCATTTTGTATAGGAGGAGGAAGCATCTGTAAGAAAGATAGAGATTAAAACCACCTCAGCTGGACTGTGATCGGTGCTGATTTCTTTTCTTTTCCATTAGATCTCCTAAGGCAAATATATAAGCTTGTTTGTGCTTTGGGAAAATGAAATTTAGCAAGGTTTTATTGATTGTGAAGTGCTTCATCTGGGAAGAGCTTCAGAACATAGTTGAGAGGTTGAGTCTTGGCTGTGGTATTCAGAAGGTCTGCAGTGCAGTACCTGTGTGTGGGGCCAAGATCATTTATGCTCGTTGTGTGGGCATATTGTCTGTGCATTCTGTCACAGTGACAAGAGCTTGGGAGTTTCTGGTGTATTTATGGCATTCCTCAAGTTCTCAAGTGACCCCTTATGTGTGGCCGTGTATGGACGTAGCAGGAAAAAATGCTGCACAGCTTTTCTAGTATAAGGTGGGTGGACAATATAAAGTTAATAAAATCTACTTCCATCTTTGTATTCTTTGAAACTCAGTATCTGGAAGGATAACACCACATTCTAATTTATATTCCCTGATATTATTTTGGGCTTTTGGAAGAAAATTGCTGGTTGGAATCTCAGGCCACAACGTAAAGGTCTAACTGCATTTCTGTTGAGCATCTGGGCCCGTGCTTGCTATTCCATAAAAATGTTGTTTGTGGCATCTCTTAGAAGGGTTTGGAAACTGGGAGCTTTTCCACCATGTGTTCCATTCATACAGTATTTCCATTAAGCCGTGTGCAAGTTTTTTTCTCAATTCACTTGAGATTCCTATCATACAAAATAACCTGTTAACTGTGTTTTTCCATTATGGAGATTTTTCTTGGTAGATCTCAGAAGAGCCCTGCCTTTCTGTTAACACAGGACTAAGCTCTTTAATGACTGTCTTTGCTGAACAGCAAAGAGCAGTGTATTCTTCACACAAAAGCCCTTCAAGTGGAGGTTGTGCTGTCCACTTCTGTAGTTATCTCTGTCAACACTTGGACAACATTAAACTCAATACAACGGTGACGTACTACTTCATTTTAGACATAATTGTGGCAGCAGAAGTGGGGTTTTGTTAGTCCTTTCTCCTGCATTCTGTGCACATCAACCCTCTCTTTCCATCAGTGCTTCAGCCTTGTGTGCATTCACAAACTGGTTCGTGTGGAAGCCCACAGGAAGAGATGCCTGGAAAATGGGAGATAAGCTACAGGTTAGTGCCTGGATCACCTTGTTACTTGCCCCTTTCTTTCCCAGTTGGGTGTGGAGTGTTTGGTGTGGGTGGAACTGAAGAAGATGTCCTGTTTCCATGGAGGTGTCAGTTCATGAGCACAGTTACCAAATACACACAGACTGAGCCAACAGTGCTGACAAAGTCACCATTATTAAACCTCTTGTTTCCTGCTGACCTTGGAGATTGGTGACGTGGGCATTCCATGTTCACAGAGGCATTCTGTAAAGTAGTGCTTTCATAAACTGAACTAGAATTTGCATAGACACAGTCTCAAGATACTCGTGTGAGACCCAGTATGTAATTTAGGATTACCTAACTGTGTGTTTTATCTGTCTGAGTTACTGTGATTGTCCCATTTATTGTGTAACATAAAATGGAATTTAATACTGATGTACCAAATGGCAGTCACATGAATTAACAAGAGCCATGTAAGCTCTGAATTAATTCCTGGCTTAGTGCAAGGGAAGTATCACAGTGGTATTTCTGAAGATGGAGCAAATCTATTGCTTTCACATCATGCATTTCTAATATTCTTGTATTACATTCTCTTGAGAGACAAAGCAGACTGTAGATCTGTATAGGAAAGGAAATTCAATACCAACACTTATATGAAAGCTTTTAAGAAGTGTTTAAGCTTTAAAGCTCTAAACAAGCTATATTTTTAAATTATATTTTATGGTATTACCCTTTGTACCATAAATTAAATTTTATATTTATATTATTTTGCCTGAAAAAAAGCAATATGCCCTTTGATATTTGTGGTATAGATGGGAATAGTAACAAAGCACATAACTGCTCCCTCTCTAAGTCTTGACATTACTGTCTTCTAGCTTGATCTGAACCCTTATTCATGTCTGTCACCCTTTGGTTTTAGGACCAATCCTACTTACTTTAGCACAGTATTTTCTCCTTTATCTCTGCCCTTTCTGCTAATGTTTTAGTGTTTTGGGGTTTTTTTAATTTGTTTTTTTTTTTCCCATTATGATATATTCAATTATCAAAAAATGGTTTGTTAAGCACATATACAAATTTACTATTGCCATTTGAAAAATGTTGAGGAAAATTATGTGTTCAGAAAGACAAAGGGGCAATAATTTATTTTAGAAGAAGAATTTTGTAATTCTCTTTTGAGTGGCACCCTTCTCCATTTGTCTGCCTTTTCATTTCTCACCATGTCAACCCAACAGTTGCTTCCATCAGTCTCTAAGCAACCATTTTCTCCTAGTGCTTTCCTCTAGAGAAATCTTTGCTCTTTTTCAACGTTTCAGATTTTCGTGGAAGACTTAGAAATGCTCATGTCATAGCATATAAACCAAGAATTGTATGCAGCAATACAGCAAGTATATTACTATAAATAAGAAGAAATATGCCGGGGTTTGGAAGTTGTTAACTCACTTGTCTACCATTGGTTTCTGTGTTGCCATGGTTATTATATTGTCTCCTTGCATTGGCTAGCCAAGTGGCCAATCCCATCCTCGGCCCAGCAGCCCTTATAAGCTGTGGGAAATTTGAATAAAGGCTCTTCTTCTCCGCTGGATTCCCTGCGTGGTCTCTGTCTCCTGGCTTAAGTACCTCCGCCGCCTGTCCCTGCCACGAGGTGATTCCAGCCCTGAAAACCTTCACAGAGCAGCCGGCAGTGACCCCCCAGAAACCCCCCGAACTGCAACAGAAATATTAATTGTGTGGAAGATATGTAAGAAGTATATATTTTGTAAAGGCGATGAATATTGCAAAAATTTAATTATTAATAGCGTAATTTTAACACCAGGCAAAAATACATCTTTTTCTATTCACGTAAGAGTTTGATTTAGCATGAACATCCTAACACATTGATGTCAAAGAAGCTAGTTTAGTTGTTGGGGCAACTGTTTGTCATTGGAGACTCATTGCTTTATGGAAACTGTTGTCACAGTGGCTTAAGAGGGTTTCAACAATAAGGTAGCAGCCTTAATACTTAGACATTTTCCTTCATTCTGCAAATATTCACTTCATATGTAAGGGTTTGTGGTTCTCCTATCTTTGTAACACTTTCTGCCCCACTGTATTCTTGTTGCTGTTGCTTATAGGAGAGTATTTCTGCACCTTTGAACGCTAGGAATCAATAAATTGTTGTAAGAATTTCAAGGAAGCTCAGTGGAGGTTTCTTACTGTAGGTTTTTCACTGAGTTGTGTTGGCCTTTCAGTGGGGGAATTCAAAACCACAGCCAGCTCTGTGTCTAAACGGTGTGTGATCGTGGGAGAGGTGCCACCCTGAGAGCAGTGTTGTTCTGTTTGCAGAAAGCCACATTCTCGAGGATGTGAACAAGTGCATCATTGCCTTGAGGGAGCAGGATGGGGATGGTTTGGATCGTGCCGCAGGTGCCATCCGAGGACGCGCTTCCAGAGTCGCTCACATTGTTTCGGGCGAGATGGACAATTACGAACCGGGGGCTTACACTGAAGGGGTGATGGCAAATGTTCAGGATCTCACCAAGAATGGTAAGTCTGATTTCTGCAGTTTTTACAGTGCTGTAACCTTTCCTTTATATGCCACACTTAAAGTGAATCCTGTGGTTCTCTGATGTGCTGCACTGTCTTGGCCTGAGGGAGGAGTAATCCAAACGACCTTACCTAACATACCTCTTAGATGGATCGCTGGAACTTTGTCTCCATCTACAGTGTGGAAAGATTCTGCTTGGGCAGGACCAGCTCGATTGACAGAGCCTCTAGTGTTGACTAGCCAGGTGGCCTTGGCTAAATTCTTGTCCCAATTTTTGTAAGTTCCCTCACCTAGTGCCTTTAGAGTTGTCTTCAACAGTCCATTACATCTTTCTACTTTTCCTGCAGTGGGTGCATGATATGGAATGTGATATACCCAGTCAAAGAACACCCAGCAAAAGCAGGTTTCATGGAACAGTGGAAGTGTGACCAAGTTCATTGGCAAGGTTCATACATGCTACTTCATACATGGTTAAAGCACACACAGAAAAAGCAAACTAAAAGAGAAAATCAATCATTGTAAAACCAAAACCAACAAAAAATTATCCACCTGGAACAGAGAAGAGAGTGAACTCTCTAATCTGCACCTTTTTATATATTGTGTTATGGAAAGGAATGATATGGAATACTTCCGTAGATTCCTGACCCCGTTGCTAAAGGAAGGCTTGATAATCCAAGAAACCAACTCACTACATTCACTAACAATTCACTCTGTGGTCTCTACTCTCCTGTCAGCATCTTGTTCAATCCAGTGATGCCATTCAATTCAAACCTAATTTTTGATTTTTTTTTTTTTTTCTAACTGCGTGGTCTGCTTAAGGTTGTTTAAATTATGGAAGACTTTTCCTGGAGTTGTCAATGCAAGTAACAATGTTCGGAGACTTGTAACTAATGAAGCAGCAGATTTTCACTTTGTTGCAGTGGCCTCACAGACTTGTTCTCAGCAGATGAAAGGCAAACTCAGATAAAGAGAAGCAAGTGCATGACTTGTGTCTACTTCCACTTTAAAGACTATTGGGCAGTGGTCAGATATCCCAGAATATCTTCATTTCTGCTAAACAAATTTGAAACTACCTGAAATGGTTTGTAGTCTCCATTTACTTTTTCATAATATTAAAAAAGTGGGTATCATATCTTGGAAAATGCCTATGCTGGCCACAGGGGTGTAACTGTATTGTACTATAGATAGTTCCTGTTATTTACGTAAATGAATCTTTGGCCTTTCATAGTGTATGCTTACTAATAATAATAAAAAGAAATTACCTGTGGAGCTCCCAAGACTTCCATGTTTTCAGTAGTTTCAGTGGCTGGGCAGTTAAACTGCTCTTAAAAAAGTCTGTACCTCCCTGAAATATAGAATTTAGCTTCATGAACTCAGAAGTCTAAATCCTAGCTCTCTCAGTCTAAGCAAATGTCTGGTACCTTACATTTGACTGACATTTGCTTTATTTTACCTCCACAAAAGACAGAAATGTTGTTTGAGCTCTTTCTTAATAAGTTCAGATATGTCCAGGGCAGAAGTGTCTTCACGTGAACAAGAGTAAACTGACATTGCAGGGAAGTGGCTAAAGGGACAGAACAGTGAGAAGAGTTTCAAATAGACTTGCCTGTTTCTATTTTCTAATATTTTGGGGAGAAAATCTGAACATTTTCACCATTACATTAATTTTTCATGACTTCTGGAAGTACTCTGACAACTACCGAGGGAAGCAGCGTAGAAAAGCATAGTTTTGATTATCTTGTAAAAGCTGAGCCCATCTTCCTTGAAACCAATAGTGTTTCAAGACATTAGGAGTTGACACTGACTTCTGTTCTGTTGCCTTGCTTCAACAGTAATATATATAATGTACCTAAACCTGTCTGTCTACATAAGACAGGGAGACATAAAACTGGTTTTGGTTGGAATGCTTGCCTATGTCAAGGGACATCAAGCGTGTGACATCTCAAATGACTTTGCAGTACTTCAAACCTAAGAATCCACTGTCTTTATGTTGTTCAATAGGAGCAGAAAAAACAAACGTATACCTTTCATTTTCACCTGTGTTTATATGATCTGGAATGAATAGACAGCAAGTCAGGTGAGGGCTTTTTGGTTTTGATGGCCTTATTTCATTGGTTTGCTGTAACTTTTTCAGCTGACAGGTAAAATGCAGGTAGGTTGCAGCCCTGAGGTGTAACCTCAGCCATTCTGTCACAGCTGAGTCTTTCATGTGCCAGATGATTGCAAGGTGACACTTCACCAGGACAGAGCTGTGCCATCACCTCCTCAGTGAGCTTACATAAGTAACCTGGGGCAGTGAAGTGCATCCTTCATGCCTAGTAAAAAGGTGAAGTGTTACTGAAGAGAAATTATTGCAGGCAGAGTATAGAATTACTGAAAACGAAATTACAGACTAGTAGCAGACACGGAAATAGCAGAGAAATAAAAACAAAAATGAAAGAGAGAATGGGAGCAGAAATAAGAAGGATGCAAATTGGAGGTAACAGGAAAGAGAATGTGCATAAAGAGGAGAAGGTACATTTACTGTTTGTTAAAACAAAGACCGAGGTTAAATTGTAGAACATATGTTGAGGTAATTTATAAGAAAAGAAAGAGCTTTAATTCTCTGCATTGCAGTATGAAAGAAAAGAGCATAAGAACACTGAATCTGTCTCTTCAGATGGATGGCATCAGACATATTTGAGATAAAGTGAGCTATTCAACAGTAATATCATAATACTGCTGTACCATAAGTATTTAAAGCTGGAGCTTAATTTCCTAGTTGTATAGTCCTGTTTACATATGAGCTGTTAGCAGCCAAATGGATCTCTACAGCACCATACAATGGAGTGTGTGCTTTCTCAGGCTTATTTATGCTGTTCCTCCATTTTACCCCTTCCCTTTCCCTGAACAAGAAGACAGACCCCAAGCCAACTAACAACAAGGCTCTGCAAAAGCACCGTTTAAGGTGTGGAGTTGAGCTTTTAGAAGCTGGATAATACCAGAAGTGAAGTTGAGTTTGCAGCCTTCATTTTCCTTGATTTGCATTCTGTGCACATGACATGCATTATGACATTGTGGTTATGTGATCACACAGTTATGTTACAAACCAGCTGCTTTATTCAGGTCACTGGATGGACCTACTTTAGATGTATGCTGGGGTCACATTTTAGAGGAGGAGGCTGGTGTCCACAGGCTAAATTTGGAAAGTAATGAGGCAGAAGACTGCAGGAAGAGAATATATGATCTCATAATAAGGATAGTTATGGATGGACTTGATGATCTTGGTCTTTTTAAACCTAAATGATTCTCTGATTCTGCAGTTCATTGGCACTGCCCAGGTCTGTACAGAGTTCCTGCATGGTGCTGAGTTCGTGAGGCTACAGCTCATTGTGGGGTGCAGGGGTGCCCCCAGCTCCTGCTCTGAGTGAGCACCACGCTGGCAGTGTCCTTGTTCTACAGCACCATGAGACTGGGACATACTCTGTCCCTTCTTGGTCTCAGGTTTTGGTGGGAAGAGGGAGTGGGTAGGAGAGAGAGTAGCAGAGCATTCCAGCCACATCCCTGGTCTAGGCATCTGGAAGTCAGCCTTGACAGTCATGCCTTGGAAATGTTGTTGCCCCAGGGTCTTGCCACGGGTGAGAGTGGAAGGCTTAGACAAAATTTATTAAACAAGCCCTGCCATTGAGTCCCAAGGTGCAGAAAGGATTCCTTTGTTTTCTAAACCCCTTCTCAGAGAGGAATCCAATCTTAGCCTTGGATTATGTCAATGGTTAAAATTTAAGGGATTACAGAGGTGTGATTGAACCACCTTTGTCCCACAGGTTTAAACGACTGGCAAAATGAGAATAATTATATAAAATGAATCATTTATTACTACAGATGACCAGACAAAAGGTCTTAATCACAATTATTTACTACACAATACAAAAGCTAAAACTACTAGTATAGTATAAGATAGGATAGTGTACTATATTGAAGCAAGTATAGAAACAATTTATTAAAGCTAGCAAAACAGAAAATAGAAAAGTAGAGATGTGATGTGACTCACCCAGACCAACGCTCGTGGAGAGATCTCTTTCTCTCAGCCTTGAGGACTGTCCTTGGAGAGCGTCCCCAGCCAAGGAAGGAATCTCCACACATACAGCCCAAGAGGGTTATGTTAGAAGAACCTGACTGCATGAGAGGGGACTGGACTTTTGTAGTATAAAGTCACATATTTACAGGCCAGCTATCAGCTTATCTGATTCCAAATCTGGTGAACCAGGATGGTTTTACTGAAACAACACCCTGGCACCAGCAGTTGATCTTGCATGACAGCTTGATAGAATGCATGAGGGCTTTGCATTGTATGGAGTCTCTGATTGGATTTTAGATCTTATCAGGGTGAGTCTGTCATGCCACAGGTCTGTATGAAACCTTTACTGACCACTGGAGAAAACAGTGTTCAGTCCTGTGGTCTGTATATAGTCTGTGAAGTCACTGGGTTTAAACCAGCATTTCCTATTTCATTTTACAAGTGCAAAGGTAGTGCAGCTTGAGGCTGTATTCTGGTCTGGTTAAGACTGTGAAAACATTAATACTGATACCTCGCTGCCATTCCTAATGTCTGACACTGTTGATTAGATTGAAATAGATTGTTGCATTTTGATGGGGTTGGTGTACTGCTGCATGACAGCAAAATGAAACCTTTAGAAACACTGTTTATAAAACCCTAAGGTATTTCCACTTAAAAACTGGAAGGGTAACCTTGTACTGTGTTTTTAAATGTCAGTTTACTCTGCTATTTTACTGCCTGCCAGAATCCACAGCGGTTGAATTTAAGTCAGCAATTTACATTATAGCAGGTATCTGTTGATATAAGTAAAATGCCTGTATTGTAAATTTGATCTGCAGTTGTGCTTTCATGCCAAAGTATAATGATATACATATAGGTGTAAACACACATATAAATCTTTAGTTATTGAGATCTAAAGATCTAGTAAAAAACAAGGAAAAGGGTGGAGACAAAGACTGTAAA